ATCTCTTTAGAAATAATTGGCGTGTTTATTGCAAACCTTCCTACATATTCATTAATATAGGTCCCTCCAGTGCACATATATAGTACCCTGAGCAAGGGACTATATATGTTATGCACTTTCCATTCAGAAATAATACTTACTGGTTTGTATTATGCCTGAAGTCATGTCATTCATTATTTATTCTGATTATTAAAGTTTTTGTAGTATTATGATACTCCTATTAAAATACAAATATCCCTGAGAGATAACACTCCAAACTCATTATCAAACATTTACATCTTTTCAGAGATTATTTCAGGATTATCTGATGAAATAGCAAATAACGTTCCACCTGTGATGGTAAATAAGAAAATTCAGCCACGTGTGGAAACATAGCATTCAACTATCTCTGTGTTGTGATATTAGGACGGTTAGTAGAGAATGCCTGCTACCAAAATTTGGCAACCCCATCCCAGATTTCTTCTTTAAAATTTAAGCCAAAAAGTTCTTTGCAGACCATTAAATACAGACATCACTGAGGAAAGTCATGTATTAAGCCCAAAATGTTATTTTCCTCTCTGAATAAATGCATTTGTCATACTCTTCAAGGTGATGATCTAAGATCTCACTCTAATTCTTTGAAATGTCTTCCATAATTTCATTAAGACCTAAGGCTTGGGCCTTAATGTTTATTAAAATAATCATAAATTTTTATAATTTGCTCTCTTATTCTATCCTAGACCAGACCAGACTATTCAGCTGACCCTTGGACACCTCCACCTGTCTGTTCCATGAACATCTCATGCTCAACGTACCAGAACCAACAGAAGACATTCACTTCACACCTGTTTCTGACTTTGTGTTCTGGCACAGTGTGGACCCGTGTGTTCAGGTTTTGGGTCAAGAAAATACTGTGTAGGCCCTTCCTACCAAAGGCAGGGAAAGGCTATAGGGAGACAATTCTCCTTGGAGGAAGAAAAGGAAAACAGAACAAAAAGGTAATATTCCCATCTGTTATGGGTTTACATAGTCACACGTTAACTCAAGTAGTAACCTCATGGTGAATTTTCACTGTTCTCTTCCTTATAATCAGTGATAATATCCTGACGATTTCAACTCTGTGATACTTCCCACTGGTCTCACACTTATCTAAAGCAGACCTAGAGAGCACTAGGGAGTCCTCACTAGGCTGCTGAAAGAGTGTCCTATCTAATGTTCCCAACCCACTCTCCACTGTACATTACTTCCTCCTAAAGCTTGGCTTTGATCATATCATTCTCTGGTTCAAAAATCTTTAATGCTCTCCATTGTTTATGAAATCAAAATCAGATTCGTCTGCTTTCCAGTGTATATTATTATGATATGGCTTTGCCTACCTTCTGCCTTCACATAAGCTTTAGCAAAACCAGAACACTCACTCTTCTCTAAAGATACCCATTTGCTTTCCAACCTATGTGCCTTTCCTCAAATAGTTTCCTTCACTTGAAATATTTTTCACTGATTCTTCATTTCTGCTCCTCAAGAGCTACCTATCTTCAAGATCAAGTTTTAGTCTCTCAAATAAATCTTCCTGGCTCCCCCCAGCTGGAGGTGATCGTCCCACCTTTGAACCCTCATGGCATCTACCGTGTGACAACTTGCTCGATAGTATCATTATTTCTATGCTTGTCTTATGCTACTCACTTTATTAACAACTCCATGAGTCTAGGAACAGTGTCTTATTCATCTCTACTTCACTTGCCGTACCTCGCTCAATTATTGCATATAAAATGCAGGTAATTATTGAAATGTTTCTTAGTGAGCTTTGAAGGAGGATGAGAAAGAAAGTGGATGAGTTCCTAGTTTCTGAAAGGATGACTTTGCCATGAAATGACATTAAAGGGTCCTGGGAGCAGCTTCACACACTTTGTAATTTTGTATAAGACTGTAGTTCAGGACAAGCATCTTTGTGGATGGAAATGTGTTCGGGGAAAGGAAGACAGGTTGGCCCAGAGCACCAGCATCTACTTGTTTAAAATCTTTCCTGGAGACTTTCAGGAAGGCAGGGCGGCATGAAACAATTGGGTGCTAGGAATCCTGGCCTCAGGTCTTGGAACTGTTAGGGCTGATGAGAGCACTGGGCTGGAGAATTCTAGAAAAAGAAAAGGAGATAATAAACTAACTGCCTGGTTCACCATAATATACACTAGATTAGAGTAGCACAATTTTAGTCTTATTTGTGTTTCTGCATACATAAAACTGTTAATCAATTGCTTAGTCAATCATCATATATTTATTAAGAGCTTTCAGCATACCAGGCACTTGTACTATGCTATGTGCTGAAGATACCGGGGTATACTAAAAAGACAAAAGTTCCTGCCCTCATGGACCTTATTTTTTAGTGGGAGAAATGCTAAATATAGTACATACATAAAATACAGAACTATTAGAAGACAATCAACCCTCTAGATAAACATGAAGCAGGATATGAAGGTGAAGTGCTAGAATTTTCAGCAGAATGGCCAGGCCTTGTTAAGAAGGTGATCCTTGAGCAAAGATGGTGGAAGAGGTGAACATTCACCCATGCAGCCCTCTGGGGAAAGAGCATAACAAAAGAAGGAGCAACCAGTGCACATGTCCTGAAGCTGGGAAGGCCTGATACACTGGAGAAACAGAAAGGAGGCCAGACCGCCCGGAGTGCTGAGAGGCAGAATGAGGTCAGAGGGGGGAAAACAGGCTTCAGGTCTTTGTAGGCCATTGTGAAAATGTGGTTTTTACTTTGTGTGAAATGGGGGAAGACCATAAGTAGAGTCTTAGTAATTGACACATTGGCCCTTGACCTAACATTGCACTGTACACCGGCCAAAGACTGAACCAGGGAAACCAGTGAAAAGGCTATTACAATACTCCAGACGAGAGATGATGCTGATGGCTTGCAGCAGGGTGACAGTAGCAAAGATGATGGCAAGTGATAAGAGTCTAGAAAAATTTTAAAGGTAAAGTCTCAAGGACTTTCTGATGTTGGTTATGAAGGTTAAAAAAAAAAAAGACTCAAGGATGACTCCCACATTTTTCTGCCAGAGAAACAAGAAAAATAGTGTGGTTTATTAATGTAGAATATTAAAGGTTGTGTTTGGGATCCGTAAAGCTTGTGGGATGTCTCCCGATTAGACATCTACCCAGAGTCTGGAGCCAGGAGAGAGTCTAAATAAAAGAGAGATATAAATTTGGGAGTCATCAGGCAGGATTTGAAGCCAAGAAACTAGATGAGTCTGACAAGGGAGTGGCTACAGAGAAGAGACGAGGTCCAAGGGCTGAGTTTGAGGCACTCCAGCCTTCAGAGGTCCTAGAGAAGAGGAAGAACCAGAAAGGAGACTGAGCAGGAGCCATCAGAGAGGTAGGAGGCAGTCCAGGTGGGTGTGTTGTCCCGGAAGCCAGGATAAAGATGTGTAAAGGGAGAGGGAGCAAGCAACCAGCTCAAATGCTACTTACAGCTCAAGTAAAATACAAAATGACCTTTGTATTTGGCAATGTGGAGGTCATTGGTGACAACGCTAGAATGGTCTCAATGGAGTGATAAAATAAGAAAGCCTAATTGGAAAAGATTTGAGAATCAGAGAAGAAGAATTGGAGAGACTGACTGTAGATGCCTCATTTTGCTATAAAAATGTTGCATTTTTTTTAAAAGCCAGTAATTCAAACTTTTTATTAATACACACAGGCATTGTGTCCATAGCAATGGGAACACATCACATTTTACTTGTGAAATCTCCCTGTCTAATGGGAAAAAGGCTTTGTGAAGTGGGTTTCAGCAGCTTTAAGTCTGGCACTCTCTTCGTTAACTGTAGAAAAACAATCACTGCCTTTAGTACATTTGCAGCTCAAAGTATTTTAAGTTGTACAATCAAACTTCTATCTTGGAACTTTACTCACACACTCACACACACATCCCCAAATGAAGACATCATAGCTCTCATTTGCATATTGTTCCTCATTATAAATAACATTCATTTCTTTGAAATATTTTATTGATTCACAGTTTTTTTCTCATGCCATAGCTACTGCTTACCTTAAATTTTTAAACGATGTTTCTCATTCCATAGGCATTTGATTCCCTTTTCTACCTGTAGACACAGGTTTATATTGTCAACAGTTGGGCATGAGTCTCCGAAAATATTTCAGGATTAAAAGCAGGGCAGGGAAAGCTGTCAACAAAACATGCTAACCTAATGTATCTGAACAGGACAGGGTCTAGCAGGACTGCCAAGGTGCTGTGAAGTTCAATGGTTTGATACTTGTGTTGTGATTTTGCTATAACATTAAAGCCAAGAGTCTTCTCCACCCCAGGGTAATGCCAGTTTCCCAGAAGGCTCATTTGTCAGAGCCAAAGCTCCAAAGATGCCAATGCACCCATGCTGATATTTAGTCTCATGTTATTTCTCAATTTTATGCTTAATTTGCTCCTTTTGGTTTTATGTATTTTGACACAGCCAAGTGTACGTGGGGATTTCCCCATAGTCCTTTAAATGCTATAAAACTTTAATATAGGGAGATAAAAACCATAATAAGCCATGCCTCTAAGCCCTCACATTTAGTTCTTTATTTGACTTAGACAATAACCAGTTTTAGATACTGATTTAGATTTTTAAGTACTAGCACTGCTTTAAATGCCCTTTGCTGCTCCTTACTCTTCTCCCCCACCCAAATGAAAAGTATATTCTACTCTTAATCTGGACATACAATTCTCATTGACTGCCCAAAATGGATCTTTACAATTCTTAAATTGTCATCATAATGGCCTACATGGAGCATGAGCCAATGCAATTTAATATGGCTCAGAATAAAGCCAAGATTGATGCCCAATTCCCAATTTTAGACATGCAACCCTGGAATGTCTTTTGGAAAAAATGAAATAATGATCCTGGTAGACTGTTGGGTTAGTCTGTTTTCAGCATAATTGCCTTCTCTCGGCTTCCTAATGCCCTGAAAACCTCTGAGAGTCTTTAATGTACAAAGTTCAACAGAAACACCTTCAGAACAGATTAGTTCTAATTATGTTTAATATTTGTTTGCTGTTTTATTGAATAAACTGCATTTGCTTTATAAAAAAAAAAAGAAAGGAAATTCACTTAACAGCATGTCAGTCACCCAAATTTTAAGTGTACAAATGAAATGGAAAACATTTATTACACAAATTTAATTACAATTCTAAGAAATAAACATGCAAATTAGATAGAGTTCAATTTGCACATGCTAATCCTCATCCTTGATCTCCTTCCTTCCCTCCCTGATTTTCAGTCTGTGCAACTCCTGGATTCCTAGGGAGCCAGGCAGCCAGAGGTTTGGTTTTTTCACAGTCAGAGGATCACTGTTTTAAAGGAGTGTTATATTTAGCACATCTGGCATAGTAGCAGTAAACAAACATTATAGTCTTTGTAACACTTTTGTGCAGGTGCCTTCTCCCGATTTTATTAGGTCTATGCCTTCCAAGCCTCTGCCTTCATTACACCTGAAATGACCCATCTCGACTGTGGAGCGGTCCCTAGACAGAAGTTATGAATTAATGTTTTAAAAAACAAACTCAATTGAGCCCAATATAGGGGAACGTACTATTTGCAAAATACTCTGATCCTGGGGCTTAAATTACATTCTCTTGAACGAGGACAACCTTCTTTATTACTTTTTACTTCCTGGAGGTTTTCTCTGGAGGTTCCCCACCCAGAAAGAGTTGCCAATTCAAGTTGCAGCAGGACCAAGGTTGCTTTTTTTCATACAGACGCAGCTCAGGAGGGGAACCGGCGGGGGAGGGCGGCGAGGGGAGAATAACTGCTTGGTCCTGCAAAGACATCTGTTTCTCATCTCCTTTTGCTGTGGCGAAGGAGAAGAAAGTCTTCTGCAAAGGGTGGGAAAGGCACAGATTTTTTTTTAATCACACGCACACATAACAACAAAACTAAACCAAAAAAAAAAAAAAAAAAGAGAGACATCTCCGAAGGTTGCAGAGTGAATACATTATTCGGCCGGAGCCGAGCCCCCAGGGCTAGGGCGGGAGCCCGAGAGCGCGTGGGGTCTGGGCCGCGGGCTGGAACTGGGCCCGCGTGTCCCCGGGCACTGGGAGGGGAGGGGAGGCAAGGGAGGAGGGAGGGCGGAAAGGAGGGAAGGAGGCAGGGGGCGGGCTGGGGTGGGGGTGCGGGAAAGGCGCCCCGTGTGCTGCCGGAGGAGCGGCGGCGGCGGCGGCGGCGGGAGGAGAGGAGGGAGGGAGAGCGGGCGCGCTTGTCATGTTCCCTCTCTCACCCTGGGGGCATCCTGCAGAACCTCTCCTCGGAAATCCACGGGGAAATGGCAAACAGGATTGACGGGTTTCACACGCTCCTCGCTAGACAGAGCCGCTCATTACCATAACCGTCTGCAGCGACGGCGGCGCAGCGCCCCAGTCGCGGCGACGGGACCGGTCGGGACCCTCGCCCGCCGCGCACCAGCGGCCACCGCCGAGCGGGCCGCCGGGCCGGGACCCGCGCGAGTGTGCACCCGCGGCCGGGCTGGCGCCGCGCCCAGAGCGGACCAGCGGCAGCTCCGCCGCTGCGGCCGCCGCCTCCCCGCTGACCCCGCGGTAAGAGCCGAGCTGCGCGCGGGCCGCGGGGGCGACGGCCAGGGCGGGTGGAGGGCGACGGCCCCCGGGGCTGCTGTCTGCGCGGACTGGCACCCACCGGGCCTTCGGCGCGTCCCCCCGGCGCGAGGTCAGCGCGGGGGTCACCGAGTGGACTTGCAGCGGCCCGCGCGGGGGGCGTTGGGGCCAGGGCACAGCTGGGCGAGGAGGAGGCGCGGGCTTTTCCAGGGTCGGCGTGCGCCGCGGCGGCTTCTCCAGGGCGGGAACCGCTGCCTCCTCTCGGGCTGCTCGGCTGCCACCCGTGCACACCAGGGGCGGTTGGGGAGAGCAGCTCTGGTAGACTCAGGGTCCTCGGTGGCCGCTTAGTCCCTCACCCTAGGGGACGGGGATCGGTAGAAAGGATGCCCCCAGGTCTGGACGCCGCGGCGCTTGGCAGGTGGGGAGGGAGAGATTGTGGATGTCAGGGGCGCGCCTTTGCAAGAAAAAGGAATAGATGCGGGAGCTGACACCTTCTGTCCCCCGCCACCCCGCCCCCGCACCCTCCTCCTAGGCAGCCAAGCCGCGCTGCGGGCGGCGGCGGTTCCTCTGTCCTCAGCTCACCTCCCCGGCGGGCTGAGGCTGCTGCCCGCCTGGTCCACGCCTCTGCCTCTCTCCTCCCTTCCTCCCCTCCCGTCTCTTCGGCCCTAGCAACTTTCCCGAGTGCCCAGCTGTGGCCGCAGAAGCCGCGGGAGAGGTGACCGCGGGACTAGGGTGGCGTCCTCGCCGCTGGGTCCCATGGACGCGCAGGGCAGCCCCGCAGCGGTGGGCTCCCAGTGGGTTTGGCCGGCGACGGAGGGAGCGCTGGGCGGGCATCGCTGCGGGCTGGAGCGCGGGGCCCGGGCCAGCCTCGCCAGAGCCCTGCCAGCCGCCGTGAGTCATTTCCTTGGAATCCTACCTTTGGTGTTTATTTCCCTTAGAAGGAAACTTGGTTTGGAAAAAAAAAAAAAAAGGATAAGACATAACGAGTAATAATAGCTCTTATTCTTCACGAGAGGCACACGGCTCTGACACCGTGGAAAGACAACTTGCCTTTGTTCCCGGACACTTGGGGTGTTGTTTACTTTCTCCTGTGGCCAGCGGCCGCCCTGGAGCTGCTGGCTACCCGGGAGAGGGGCTGAGGGGCTGCAGCACCAGTCCCTGGGGGTGTGTCTTTTCGAGAGCCCAGACGTGTTGGCTGCCGCCAGCCTGCTGGAGGTCGGTCCCCTAAACCTCAGACTCCCCCACCCCCCCGCCAGTCCGGTGCGGGAGAGAGCCCACGCTGAGGCTCAGACACCCGGGCCCCCCTGGCTGCTCCTTAAGCCCGGCTCTCTCGCCTCCTCAGCCCCAAGACCTGCCTTAAAGCTTTTGGTCTCGTGGGGCTTGCAGCTGAGAAATGCTCTTCCCAGGGCAGACAGGTGTACTGCAGGGACGGGTAGAAAAGCGACATCTGTCTGTTTAGAAGGGTTGAAGGATTTTGTTCTGCCCATCCAGATTCTTCCACCTCCTCCACCTTGAGCATACAAGCTGTTGAGATCTGATTAGGGACAATGTGGAGGTCAGGGTCTTGGTTCCACTCGGCAGAACGTTTAAAACTGACAGCATCAGTGGTGCCTTGGAAATACCAGCCCTCTACTTCCCTGCTTTCCAGGGTTGGAATCAGACTTCTAACTGCTACCATGTATAATGCTCCTGATAAAATGTTCTCTAATTTCCAAAGACAGATGGGAGGAAGGATGGGCAAAGAATGGCCAGAAGGCTCCCCTCCTTGTTAGATTCAAGGTGCCACTGAATTCACAGCTACCCTGTTCTGTGTGCCAGCCACTCCTATTAGCATTATAATGGCCCCAAGGAAAGAACAAGCCTAACTCTCTTGAAAAACCAAATTGTATAGAAATGCCTGGTAACTTTACTGTGAACATTTGCTGGAAAAGCTTGACATTGTAGCCCTCAGCCTTCTGGGGATGCTTGAGATGTCATTCCACTACATCTACTTGGGCAACAAGATGGATCTGCAGGAGCCTAAAGATAATGGGTTAGGGCTTTGAAAATGTTTTAAACCTTATGCAAACACAATTTAGCACCCTCCTTTTGAATCCACTCACCTGGTGTTAAGAAAACAAATTTTGCCATATGTGTATCTTTGTCTATATTAACAGCACGTGAATTTGTAGACTTGAACTCGGAATTATCATGTACAGAGAATGACAATTTGGATCTCTACATACTGCAAATAAAGATTCATGTTAAACATTGGTGCTTAACACTGCACCCTCCCATTTTTCATGAACATTAAACTTCTTGATTTGCGAACATCCCAGTGTAAGTCCTAAAGAAACTAGGAAGACTCAATTGAAAAATCTCCTCCCCGTTCCCAAATCGTCCCTACTCATTCATGTTTTATTCAGGCTTACATAAATCACTCGAAGAACTCAGCCTTTCTAGTTTAAGATTTTGTGTGTAATAGTTTTCCAGTTTAAAAAAGAAAAACTTACTGAATTAAATATTGTAAACAAAAAAAACACAGTGAAGATAAACAATATTCTGCCACGTTTCAAGGTCAAATGCATAACGATAGAAATTTATATGCTGGAAACCATGCTAACAAATAGATACTTTGAAATCCTTAACAATCAAAAAAAACTAGTCCTACAAAGTCATTAAAATGTAAACAAACTCTGGCTAACAAAAAACAGCACAGGGCCCATATAATGTCCTCTTAAACAAAGGTAATTGCTGCTAGGGGCCTGCAAATGCTTTCCTTTCTTGAGGGCATGAGTTTGTCATCCTGCTTTTGTTTATATGTAATAACATTCTACATAGGCAAAGCCTTGAATCTTAGTCCCAGAGTCTAGCACAAAAGTGACTGTAAATTTCAAACTGGAAAATGTTGCTTTCTTCAATAAGAAAGGGTTACTGACTCTCTTAAAAAGCTATAATTCACGTGCTCCTGGCAATAACATCTCCTGATATGATTGTCTCTCAGAATAGGTTAAGAAATTGGACCATTTCATGAGAGTCTTCCAAGGAATAAATCATCATAAAATTTGATACCTTGCTTGGATGCAGAGTTGGAGGGGTGATGGAACAGCTTACTTTGTTAAATCGATATAGGTAAAATTTCTTGGTTGATGACTCAAAGAGAAAAATGAATTGAACTACTTTTAATTTTTTCTCTTGTAATATGGTTTTCTAGTAAGTCCTTCTGAAGTCTCTTTGGAAAATATCTTAAAAGAGAAGGAGAAGGTGGTTTAGTAGTATAAATCAGCTGCATCCTAATTCCACCCACTGACCAGGACACCTTCCTTGTCTGTCAAAAGGTCATGCTTTATTATTCAGTGGGGTTGGGACAGAAGGGGAGATCTCACAGAGAAGACTGGGTGAAAGAGTCATTGCTGCCAAGAGCTGCTCTGTTAGACAGAAGGACATTGTCACCTTAAGGAGGGTATTTCACATTACCCTGGTGGTCTTCCTCCTCGTACCTGGAAGTAGACACTCCTTATAGCATGTAGGTGGTCATAGTCTCCCATAAGACAGTGATAGATTCACCCTTTCCCCAAAACATTACAAGCTGTATAATTTGGACAAGAAAGGAAGAACTAGATTCCTAGTGTATATTTGAAAGACAATCAATCTTCAGAAAGCAAGCCTGACATCACTTTTATGACAGTTCTTTAAACCGCAAAATGAGATAGTGGAGGTTGTGTCTCCTAAAGGAATTGGCAGTTAACAAGGCACTGAGGCTGCTCGCTGGGCTATCACCCCTGGTCTATGCCCCCTTGATCTTTTTACTTTAACCTCAGACTCTCCTCTCCCTTGAACTTACTCTTACTGAGCCCTGCACAGGACCAGATAAAGGCACTGAGCCCCATGAAAGTGGCCTCCATGCCCTGAGTTTTGGAAGTGCCCAGGGAACATCACAACCAGAGAGGCTCCCATGTCCCTGCAGACTAAGGGAAGGGAGTGACTGAAGAGAAGGGCAGCGATGTGTTGCCTCTTGGAAAGTTCCTGCCTTGTGGCTGGGCTTTGCAGTGTAAAGAGTTGTTGGCTGCCTCTGGCCCCAGAGCCCTGGCTCCTGTTTAATATTCTGCCTGCTCGGTTGATGTTGTGCTTGGCTCCTGTGGGACTGCAACTCACGGCTTGAAACTGGAGCCAATTTTCTGTCTTCATCTCTCAGTGTTTTGACTGGAGGCAGATCCAGTTCAGGCCGATCAGGGCTGGTGGAAACAACTACCGAGTGTCTCTCTGTCTGCTTTGCATTGGGAGAAGAAAGTGGAGGAAGCCCCAGAATGTTGTAGAGGAACTGGCCTGCGGAAAGGAGAGGAGGAGGGCGTAGGGGCAGCAGAACAGACTGAACCTCAGAGCATCGGTTGGAATTATGGTGGAGATTTCTCTCTCCCCCGCCCTTTTCTTTTGATTGATTAGTGGGTTTCATCAAAAGAGGCTCCCAGGGGATTGACTAGAAAATTGATTTCGCCTTACTAATAGAAAGGAAGTGCAAGGATTTTGGCTTCTTAGCGGTATATTTTCTGCGGGAAGGTCAGGAGGAAAATGTGTTTAGGAGGCAAAGCAGCTGTCTGGAAGAGGGCTGAGGGGAATCTGAGAACAATAAGAAATGGGGTTTTAAAGATCCGCCCATGAAATGCAGATTGCTGAACACAGAGGCTGAGCTAATAGCAGCAGGAGAGTTTGCTGAGGTTTTCTTTGGAAAAATAATAAAATGTTTCAGGGTGAAGGGGAGGGCCATGAAGTAAAAGTTTCCCAAAGCAAAGGAATGAAGATGCCAAGGCCATCCTCAGGCTTGCTCCTGATTAGGGCTGTTTTCTTTCTTTTTTTTTTTTTTTTCTGTTTCCCCCAGATCCGAGGCTGTCAGAGATGACTCTGGTTCTGTCCATGAATAGATTCTGCGAGCCCATTGTCTCGGAAGGAGCTGCTGAAATTGCTGGGTACCAAACACTATGGGAGGCTGACAGCTACAGAGGCCCAAGCCCTCCAGGGCCAGCACAGACTCCTTTGCAGGGAGACCGGGGAGCTGGTCCCCCACTGGCAGGTATTGTCCTTGACCTTGCCCTGCTGCCCTCTGCACCAGAGGCCAAACGGGTGGACGTGAGGTGGTGCCTGGGGCACCCTTCTGAGCTGAGAGAGCTAATGTTCCAGGGAAGTCCCTGGCCACCTGTGCACTTCTAATAAGTGAGTCCAGAGCTGCAGGGAGAGGACCAGAGGTGGCTTTTAAATCGCATTCTACCCTACATCTATCTACGTGTGTGGCTGCTTGCATATAAGTCTTGTGTCTGTAAGAAACCCAAACCAGATATTGAAACTCGAGTTTCGGTTTTGGTTTTCTACTCTGTGGGACTGTATGGTTTTCTTAGAGCTACAAAAGCGTGGCGGACTCAAAAAAGAAATTTTTATCCCTTGAGACAAAAAGGAATCTGCACGTTGGACCAGCAGCTATGTGCCTTTCCTTGTGAGTAAGCATACGATTGGCTTTGGCATTGTAGGAAAGAAAAAAATTGTAAGCTGGGAAAATAGAAATAGATTCTTCCTGATTCATACTCTCATAGACTAAGATTAAGTTCCTTTGGATTTTTGTGTAGTACTAGCTATCTTTCAAAAGGAAACTAAAATACATATACTCAATGAGGTCTGTTTGGCTAAAAAAGGATTAATAACAGTGGTCCTTAAAGTTTAGACCCTACTTTTATTTGTGGTTTACAGGTTACTTTATTGAGAGTGAAAAGGACTTTTTGTTACCCCTAATTGTAATTTTAAATGTTAAAAATTTAAATCTTGCGTTTTCAAGGAAAAAATACTGTAGTTCCAAAGTGCAGATAACCATTTGTTTACTCACTTAGAACTCATCATCTTTTAAAGTTGTTTGGTTATCAGTAGTTACAGTTAAAGATGGACACATTCAAACGGTGGTGTTATGTTACCATGGATTTAATTAAACAATTTGAATAAATACTATTACATTTGAGAGTAATTGCACTCTCCTCCTTTACGAATTTTGCTGTTTGCCTGTGCATTGAATTAAGATTCTGAATATTCAGGAAATGCTGAACTATGTCATTTTCCTCTATAATTG